CAGAGGGCTGCACCAGAGCAGTGACTTATGGATGTGGAGGAGTTTAGCATGTATTAACCTTAGTTTAGGTTTTCAGACAAGGGTGCAGTGAATATTCTCATTCAGTGTGCAAATAACATAGAATATGGAGGGACTGCAGCATTTCAAAGGAAAAGATTAGAATGCAAATTAATCTTTCCAACCTGAAAATTTATCTAAACCCACAGAATTTATTTCAGTAAGGACAAATAAAAAATTCTAAATGTAGGAATAGTCATCTGTACAACACCAGGATGGTAGATGACTGTAAGATCCTAAGTCAAATGAGTAAACAATATCATGTCACTATGAATACAGCAATTGTTACACAAATGTCAGAATGTTTATTTACAAGATGAGCAGAGTAATGCAGCTCCATTTGTCTGAGGCTTTTGCTGGAGTACTGTGTTCAGTTTTGGCACACTACTGATGAAGAAGAATGTGAATTGTTTGGAAGACTCAAGAAAAAAAAACAATGATAATAATTAGAAACTGTGTGATAAAACAAGATTGGAGAGTAGTGTCTCTCAATCCAGAGAAATAACATTACATGTGAAAGTGTCAAAATATGTGACAGATACTTTGTTGCGGAAAACAAATTACACAAAATTTCAAGCAAATTTTAGGCTTAAATCTAGAAAAACTCTTCTTAATGGTAGGGGCAGCAAAGTACTGGGGAAGTCTTAAGAGTCCCTATTGATGTGGATTTCAAGAACAGGATGAGCATGCATCTATTAGTAACAGAATACTGATGACGAGTCTCAAAGTTTCCTTTGACTTGTTCTTTTTTTAAAGTGACTTTACGGTTGCCAGTGAACAAGTTCAGTTTAGTAACACAAATGACACTGGCAAGGCAATTCACTTGTCTTACCTAGCTTGCACAATAATGAATAAATTTTTGCCCGTATGTTTTCAGAAACTTCCATGATGGCAAAGCTGGGACAGTTGGCAGGCATGGGAATGACCTCTTGCTGTTTCTGGAAGGCGCTAGCAATAGGTGTCTTCATGTCTAATAATTTCAAAACACAAAAACAGAGTGGAAGAATTAAGAGGTAGTATATCCCCAAAGCTATTAAACTTAGAGGAAACACTATCTATGTAATGAACTATGAGAATCTTTAGCAGGCAGCTATGGACATATTCTTTTCTCTGACACCTCCTCCAAAAGAAGACATTTCCATCTTACTTAGTTGACACTTTTTAAATAATTTTGATAGCTTGGGCAGGAATTTGATCATAATTTGGCCCAGGAAATATTAATTAGTATGACTAAAGATTTTCAAGACCAAAGCACTCTCCTTACTACTTTTTACAACATACAACAAAACACAATGCTTTTTGTGGAAGAAATAAAGTAGTTAGCTGCCCAGCACTAGAAAAGCTGCTCCAGATGCCAGCCATGGTTCTGTTCATTACCTGGTTCGTTCCCAGCTAATGTAGAAGATGCCATCTAGTGGCCAGACTTAAAACGGAACAGATCGAAGTATTTTAGGTTTGGTAGGAACTACAGCATAAAGCTATAAATATTGTAACTTACTTTCATCAGGATTCAGACTATAAAAGCAAATACTATCTTTGTTTTACTTTATCCAGTGAGACTGCTCACAGTTTCACATGCATCATAAAGCTTACCCACAATCTTCCCACATCGACTGCGGCTGACTCCCAGCTCCATCTCCTCCTGTCTCCATAGCTGTATAAGAAGGTGGGCTGCTGTTTGGCCGTTCTCCCCTCGCCAGGTATTGATGTGCAAAGTGGTTTTAGGGTTGTCACAAAATTCAGTCAAGATTCCAAGAACTACATTGCACAGGTTCTTCTGCTTTAACTTGGTGAAAGGAAAAAGAAACCATGTTTTAAACTTTTCAAAACACAGTGATGTATGTCTTCCTTCAAAAAACATAAAGAAATCGTGTAATATGCAATCAAGTAACTGCAAGCTTTTCATGACAACTCCTTGCACAAAACTGGTGTATAAACTTGTAAACCTTTCAAGTTTCTGGAATTCTGCCATGCAAAGTTCCATAAATCAAGGAACAAGAGGAATAAGTGTAGGATCATGTAAGATGTTCATACCTGTGTATAGAATTACATAATAGGTTTTGTATGCATGCCTCCAGGCTCCCCTGCTGGAGAATATACTACCACCAAGATTTATTTTTGTGAGAAACAGCCACTGAAGGCAGTGGCTGAGCAGTACCATGCATCATCTCTTCTATTTTGTGGCCAGATCTTTTAGCAGCAGCTGTACTCTCAGGGAAGGGTCTGCAGCCTTGCCCTGCAAGGGCATCAGAGGCTGGCAAATAAGACTGATGAGAATGAGGGGGGAATGAAATAGGTACATGCTGATTTTGTGAGATGCAATGTCATCCAAAATTAGACCATAGTTTGAGTTTTCTTTTTAAAAAGAGTATATTTCTGGTAAATTTAAAATTCTCTCAGTCAAATGTTTATTTTTAAAAGATACAAATGGAAAATCTGTCCAATCATTTCTCAGTAGATATCCTGGTGTGTGATTACTTTCCTGTCTCAGGGAATTACATACACTGGTCTTTTTGTTAGTACTGTAATAGTCTTATGAGATGCTGTAACAAAAATAATGCAGTTTTCCATGTTGTTTTACTACACTTTCATTCTGTAACAAGGATAATAAAAATACCTACTGCCAACAAATCCAGGAGGAGAAAAATGCCCTGTTTTTCAAGAAAATAATCCTCTGCAATGTAACATCCAATGACACAGGACCTTAAACAGAAATAATTTCATTGTGAAGAAACATTTTTAAGCTTTGGAACATTCCACAAGCATCTCATTTATTTTCATGCGTTGTACATGATAAGCAATATGTTTCAGACCTTCGGGGAGCAGACAAATCTGCTATAACACTGTATAACTAGATCTGCCCTACTTGACTGCTCTTTCTCCTTCTGCAGGTGGCACACCTTCCTTGTAGCAGCCCAGTAAATTTGTCAGGCTCACAATGAATTGGATTAGAATATGGATTTGAAATAAAATTAACTCAGTAAAAGAGGCTAAAATTTAGCTAGATTATGTCTTTGACCTCACTTATTGCATAGTTGTGTGAATATTCTTCCAGCAGAATCAAGTGGGTGAGACAAGCAAGACTTTTTTTTTTTTTTTTTGGCCACAGTGTTTGCTTCTCCCAGCTTAAAATGATTAGAAAACCAGCATTCATGTTGTTATTCCTTCCTTCTCTTATTTCCTCACTTATGATCATTAACACAGAAACTGAAGGGATCTCCTGCATCAGCCCTTTCTGCCAAACAAACATATCATTTGGCTTTCAAGATATTTATCAAACTATGCCTTAAAAAAAATTAACTTTTGGTTATCCTCCTATGTATTGGCATTCTCTGATAGCAATCTTTAAAATATTTCTAGCCCATACAGCCAGTTTACAAACACTTCATCTTATGCTTTCAGTTTTGGTCAATATTGATCTATTCTTGCCTTCTTTTTACTTCTCTGCAGTTATTTATGGACTATAATCATGCACCTCTCTTAGTCTTAAGTAATTGTATTTCAGGAGGTCAATCTGTGTGAGGGTTTAGACTACTGTGTAGGGCATGAGGTTGTTATACTAGACCCCTGCTTGGAAGAGAATACATGCAGAACATTCCACTTATTTAATATAATTTTTGATTAGTCAAATTGCATGAAGGATTTTTATATATTTTAAACAGCAAAAAGACCTATATTTGCAGACAAAGGCCATAGTATTGCAGAACTAACAGTTACAAGACTCGACATTTTTAAGAGAAACTGCTGCTAAAATACTTTACTAACCACAAGCAGTCGAGTGCACTGAAGAGGAGACAGTTATGGCCTAATCCACTATGTAACTTCTTTGGGTCCATCTGAATGAATGGGATAAGTATATCAACTCCTTCATAGCTGAAGAGTTCCTAAAATGTTAATTAAAGAAATATGTTTCTTAAACAGCATTTAGCAAACAGCTACATATGAGAAAATATAAAGGGATTGAAAAATTTAAATGTTTTTTAAATAAATTTGACTCACTTATTAGAGCAGGATATGCATAATAAGAAGATATTTTTTATTTTTCTAAACTGCTAATCTCACTTATTAACACACTTCCATATATTAATTTTAAAATAATGTTAATTACCAATGAAAAAGGTCAGACACTTCCTAGTGAATTTCTGTGTGATTTTCCACTTTAACTGTCACTTTCATAGAAACGGGTTATCAGAGCTGACTTGTTAGCAGTGAACTACAGCTATCTGCTTTTGAATTAAAAAAGAAAAAAGCAGCATTCTTTAAATGAAAATATACCATGTTTTGACATTGTCTGTCTGCACAGTATGAGGTAGAAAGATACATACCTTTCTGTGGACGTCATTTTCACAGAGAGCAGATAAAAGGAATAATATGTCAGCCTGGATTTCCAGTAGAATGGCAACTTCTTTCTCTTTAGATTTTTTTGCTGCATACCTTAATATGTCTATAAATGAATATTTTTTTATACATGTGAATGTCCTATACACAAGTCAGAATTCTATTACAGCTACTTATTTAAAAAAATTCTAATTTACACTAAGAGATTTTTAAAAGGAATCTACTTAAGCTGTTCAGTTTTACCTCCTGTGTTTTGCAAGTGCTTACAGAATTGCAGCACTCTGATGCTGCAGTTTCATGGACTTTACTCTTGGTGACAGTTAATGACAGCAGTTTGCACTGACTTCTTTCATGTTCAGTCTATGTGCTGCAGTATTGTGGTAGGGCAGTGAATACAGGGAACTGATCTGAATTAAGGAACTCTTAGACAAAGGCAATGAATTTGCTGATTTCCTCTACTGTACAGCCTCACAAACATTTGTACTGACAGTGGAAATGAGTGACACATAAGATACCAACACTGCTGAGGACATTCAGACACAGAACTCCCCCAAAGTAAGAAACGTTACTTGAATCTGATATGTAAGGTATAGTGTTAATTTTGCTTTCACTAAAATATGTAATTTTCTACATAGTTTTCACTCGACTTCAACTTTCAACTGAGGATGTAAAATCTTTTATTTCTAGGCTTTCTCTTAGAACATATTTTTTGAATTCCAAAGTATCCTGCCTAATTTGTTTCTTTCAGGTTGATGCTTTCAGAGTACTGGAAACTTTATTTTTCTAAGAAAATAATTAAAGCAGTGTGTATTGGAACTTAAACCCAAATGTAAGAATAGGTATGTTTCACTGTACAAGAAAATGGTCTAAAATTGCAGCAGTGGTTAAGCAGTTTTAATCTGCTTTTCTTCTAAGCAATGTTAGTCACAGAAAAGCAACATTGTTGTTTCCTTCTACACTAAAGAGGAGCTGTGGAAAGCAACACTGTAATAGACTTTGGTAGAACAAGGCTGAGGGATGGAGTTCCTAGGGTGCTAAGCCAATGGAAACAAAATGTAACAAGCTCAGGATAATGAAAGAAGAAGGGGTAGCTTTCTCCCTGAAATCAAACACCTAGGCTGTCTATTTTGCTTAATTTGTTAAATTGTAACAAAATTAAAAATCAAATCAACTGCATTTCCTTCGCTCACTAAGAAGCACAAACATTCTTAGTGTCAACAGAGATGTAGTACTTGAAGTGCAGCAATACAAACTGTGCTTTACCCAGTAGCTGGTTAATTGCTCCCTGGTCAAACAAATTAAGGTTCACAGCTTCATCATAAATGGACACAACAGATCTCAGCACTCGCAGGCTGTAGCGCATTTGTGCAAGTTTGTTGCCACGACCGCCTGTTCCATGGAAACTGTTACCTTGACCAAAGAAAGGATCTGTGGAGTAATCACAGAGAATACTTGTTTTTTGCAGACAGTGTATGATGAGAATAATAACATGCTCAGGAAAAAATAAATAGGGCTTCTCCATGTAAGCTAAAAGCAAACAAAAATATCCTCTGATGTTAGAAAGGCTTCTTGTTTAATCCCATTTAATAATAATCCTTTCTGTGCAGGGCTATACTCTTCACAATCATATGAAAGGTATGATTTTGGTGAACATTTAAATTTATTACAATTTTTTTTTTTTTTAACCTTACTAGAATAATGAGCAGTATCTAAAACTCAAAGTATCTTCTCTAGCATGGCATGTAATATCAATCTTTTGATCTCCATTAGACACAGCTGAAAAAAATAATCTTCCTAGGAAAGCTTACCATTTTTATGACGAAAACCATCCATCCCCAGAAAGCCACTCCATGAAAGTGGGTACAATTGGTTATCATTTTGCTTAGCCCATACTCCTACCTGATGGCAACAAACCAGCTGTAGTTTTGAAGCTGTCTTACTGTGTACAGCTCTGAGTTAACACGTCCTGCCTCACAGCAGGAATTGCTGGTTGGACTTGTTGCCACAATTATCTGACTAGCTTAAAACAGGCAGTAGAGCTGTGTGGCTGCCCACACAGCTGAAGGAATATCAATATAGCAGTATGCAGGGAACGGGGCACCAGTTTCTCCTCAGCAGAAAAAGAAAATATTATGCTCATTTTTTTTAGAAAGATTAGTTCCCTAAGTGACCTATTGCGAAAGAATCATCCTGACTTCAAGAGTTTTTATGTTTTTCCTTCCTGTCAAAGAAAGAAAGTCTAGCTGAGTTCTGTTTTGAGATGACTGTGTATGAAAGCCACAAGGACTACTGACCTTGGCTTATACACCATTCTAGAAAAACAAGAAGAAGAGTATTTGCTTGGCAGGACAAATATTTATCTACTAACAAGGGAGCCACTGAAGCTAAAATAGCCATTGCGTGGAGCTGTAACTCTTCATATTGAGCAGCAGACCAGTCATGAAATCCAGGCTTTTGACTTGGTTTTACATAACAAAGCAAAGCTGGCATCACATCATTGTCACGGAGAAGCTGCAGAGTCAAGAAAGAGAGAGAGCTTACAGGTTTTACATGCAAATAAGAAAAATTTAAAACCATGAGTCAGCTTTATCTGTCCTACATTAAGAAAATTATTTTTTTATTGAGAAGGTGTTGTGGTTTGAGGCTTG